TGACTGCGGGACCAGGACAGGGCTCCTGCCCCAGCCCGGGCTGGTGCTGCCCTGCTCAGGTGGCTCATTCCATGAGGGAAGGAGAGGGTGAATCTCATCCCTGGGGCTGTCTCCTCTCTTCAGGCCTTGTCAAGCAGTTCTCTGAGAACCTCTATGAAGCCTTCCTGGTGTCATCCCCGTCTGACTGTACCATGCCCTCGTCCGTGTGTAACCAGTACAGTGAGGAGGAGGAACTGGTCAAGGGTGTCCTCATGGCTGGGCTCTACCCCAACCTCATCCAGGTACTGCACTGCCATTGCTCTCTGGGGGTGGCTGTCACAGCAGGTGGCACTGAAGTGCTGAGGTGCCAGAGAAGCTTCTGCTCTCTTGGGAGTGAGTGTCCAAGCCAGGCATCCTGCTCTGGGCTCTGGCCTGTGCTCCAGTGCTGTCCTCGATCCCGTTCACGAGGAGTGGCCACCCTAGCTTGTGTTAGATCCATGTTTAGGTTCTCATCACTGGGTTTGGGAGCCATTGAAGTGGCGTTTTTCTCCTGTTTGCTGCCTGAGGTGGCATCTTCCTCCTTGCGTTGTCTGTGGTGGCACTGGGTGACTGCCAGGTGTGGTCACCCCAAGAACATTCCACTAACCCCTGGAGCTGCTGGGAGTGCGGGGACATCATCCCCTCCCCCTGTCAGAGGGCTCTCAGGGCTGGTGCAGGTGTGTGACGGTCCCCTCCCATGGCAGGTGAGACAAGGCAAGGTGACACGCCAGGGGAAGTTCAAGCCCAACAGTTACGCGTACCGGACCAAGGCCGGCACCGTGCTGCTGCACAAGTCCACCATCAACAGGTGGGTGATGGGGAGGGGTCTCACGGGGCAGTGGCTGTGCCAGGGCCTGGCCAGGCTGACAGAGCTGCTCCTGCAGGGAGGCATCCAAGCTCTACAGCCGCTGGCTCACCTACTTCATGGCCGTCAAGTCCAACGGCGGCGTCTTCGTGCGCGACTCGTCGCAGGTGCACCCGCTGGCCGTGCTGCTCATGACTGACACCGACATCCACGTGCGAGGTGAGTGCTCGGGTGCCCAGCCTGCTCCAGCTGCTCCCTGGGCCCAGTTCCCGCTTCCCAAGGCTCTCAGGCTGGGCATGCACTGGTGGCAGGACCATAGAGGTGATGGTTTGTGAGCTGTTGCCAGCTGCCCTCTGCAGGGAGACAAAGCCAGCCCCGGCAGGCTGAGCCTTAGGGCTGTGCCTGATCATCCTGGGGGAAGGAGCTGAGCTGGCAGGATCCCACTTGTCCCTGGGGATGTGTCTGTTCAGCCTGTGGGGTTTTGGCAGTGCTGCAGTCGGTCTCTAGCCCACGAGCACAGTAGGGCTATGCCATCGGTCACCTCCTGTGGGAAAGCAGGAGGATCCCAGTGTGTGCTCAGAGCTGCCTGGCTTTTGTGGAGCTGCCGGAGCGGCTCGAAGGAGTGTGGGGAGGAGCTGCCTCGGGGGCAGCAGAGGAGCCCCAGCAGCCCCGCTCCCTCACACGCTCTCCTCCCCCAAGATGACGGCTGGCGAGCAACGGTGTCCCTGACGGACAGCGACCTGCTGGTGCTGGAGGGGGACTCGTACACCATCCGCCTGCTGCGCGACTTCCGCGTGTCCCTCTCCAAGATGGTGGAGACGTGCCTGTGCTACGAGATGGCCGCGATCCCCGGGGACCTGCACCACCAGCACAGCCAACTGCTCGACATCCTGGTGGATCTGCTCAAGGGCCCTCCCGGCAGCTTCGGCTCGTAGGCGGAGCTGCAGCCTCGTGTGGGGACTTGTAATTTGTATAAAGATGTTCACAAATGTTTATTTAAATAAAGTTCTATTTATCCCTTGTGAAGTCATCTCTCTCCATCCTAGAAGATTAATGTTGTCTGAATCTCCTGCTGTCGGCTCCGTGCATGGTCACCGCGTGGGAAGAGCAGCGCAGTCCCGCCGGGAATGGACTG